GGGAAAGTCGGTGCATGATGGGGCGTGCGAGGTGGGCGGTGGCGCACGCCGGCAGGGGCGATTGCAGCTGGAACAGGATGTGAATGCCGTTTCTAGGCGATGCCGAGGCGCTCGCGGCTTCCGTGGCGATGTCTAGGCAAACCCGCCGTGCGGCCGTTTCCATCCCCATCCATGCAGGCGGCGTCAGCGCTTGCCGGGCAAACAACGATTCCAACCCGCGCCTCCGCTGTTTGAGGCCAGTAATATGCGATATCGAGCGGAGATTGCTATATTCACTCCATAGAGCAAGGGATACATTGCGCCTGATGGCGCGGGGCTGAGATCAGTGACGGCTCCGCGGCGTACACACGCCTGCAGCACTCACCACGGCGGCACGGCACACCACGCTCCTCACGGGTGCCATACGAGCAGCGGGGGCCTGCAATGCACGATGCGGTGCCTCAGGAGGGAGCACAGGCACAGCAGCAGTGCCTACGCAAGCCGCTGCGGGTGCTGGTGCAACCAACACATGATAACGAGGGATCATGGCAGTAAATGGGGCATGCTCACCGGGGCGCGCATGGCCCGGACAGCGGACTTCTGGATGGAGATCATTTTTGATGGGAGGGAGGCTTGTGAGTCAACGAAGGTTAATTGATTTGTGGAAGGTGACAGATTAATTGTGTCAGGATTCGCGAGCATGCAGAATTACGATGCCGCCGAAGTCAAGCGTTATTGGACTGCGGGCGAAGGTCAGCTTCCGCACGTAGCTCAAAGTGCATAGAATGCCAGGTTGGACATCTATACTATCAGCACCTACTGAGGAGCGCCATTTCGATAGAGGTGTAGATGTGCCCAGGCGCAAATCATGCTCAGTTGTTTATGATATCAGGAGACTGCAAAGATGCATGGCATGCATAGACCCCTGAAGAGTGGGCCTTGATACCAGAATTTACAAGCCACCATCATAGAAGTGCTGCATCTGACATGGTATAATGTCAGCGAGCCAGCCGTAGCAATCATGCCGAGGCATTAGCAGGGGCGCCTGCTCGTTGCGCCCACAAGGAACCCAGTAGCGCGTTTGCCGGTGTCGCAGGCATACTCTGCGGCCAACTGTGGAAGTTTCAGTGGCGATTGGGTAGCAGTGCGGTAAAGGAAGGTGCAGGCGTGGGTCGTGCCCACGGCAGGGGCGCTGCATACAACTGTAGACCCCACGGTCAAGGCGGGGAACGACCGACCGGCCCAGGACCCGGGCCTGGGCACGCCGCGACGCATACATGCAGGGGCGCTGCGGCGCCTTGCATTGCTTGCTGCCTGCTGCATGCTCTTATGGCCTGCGCCCTCAAGCCCCAGGCTCCTCCTCCAACACAGGTCAGGTGCGAATAGCAATCGCGTCGTTGTCAAGCCCAGTCCCCAGGTGCACGCAAATCGTCACGCTATGGTCAAAAGATGTCAAAACCCGTCAGCCACGGGGCGGGCGGGCGGGGACAGGGCACGGCCAGCGACCGACCGCGACGCATAGAGCAGATGGCTCCGACCGTGGCCGGCCACAGGCGTGCAGTTGCACCCACGCCGGCGTCCACCCTCACGCCCCACTCCGCCTGCACAGGCCGAGGCCATCCAACGCTCACGGCCCCTTACCGCCGCCCCCGCTGCCGCCGTTAGTCATCTCCGCCAGGTCCAGGCTCATGGAAAACTTGAGGCTCAGCGCGCGGTCGGCGTCGATGCCGCCCCCACCCGCGCCCGTCGCCCCCGCGCCGCCCGCGTCCCCGCCCCGCGCACCCGCGCCGCTGGGCCCGCCTACGCCCGCGCCAGCGCCACCGCCGGCGAGCAGCTGCCCGACGCCGACGCTGGGGAGGTCGCCCAACATTTGCATCTGCTGAAGGGAGTCGAGGCTGAACAGGCTAGGGTTGGCGCCGATGGGGGGCAGGTCGTCCGTGTTTATCATTTCAAGCGACGGAAGCATCATGCCCACGCCGCCCGCCTGCGGCTGCTGCTGCTGCTGCGGCGGCGGCGGCGGGTGCGGCGGCAGGCCCGGCTGCGGCGGCCGACCCGGTGCGCCCGCGGGGCCGGGGCCGCCGCCGCCATTGGTGCTGGGGCGGCCGCTGGTGGACTGCTGCTGCTGCGACTGCTGCTGCTGCTGCTGTTGCTGCTGCTGGGCGGCGGCGGCTGTCGCCGACACCGGCGTCCCAGGGCCGCTGGAGCGACCGCCGGCCCAAGCCGGGAAGGCGTCGGTGGGCACCGACGACTGGGTCCCCTGCGAAGCAAAAGGGGACGGCCCCTTCATTGCGCCCGCAGACGTGGGGGACAGCATGCTCTGCAGCGCCGTCGGGCTCATGCCCGCCGCCGCCATGGCCGCGTGCTGCTGGTGCACAGCCATGGCGGACTGCTGCTGCTGCGACGGCGCCGGCTGCTGCGGCTGCTGCGCGAGCGCTGCGGCCACGGCGGCGCCCGCAGACATGGGCATGGCACTTTGCATGCTGAACGCGCCGCCGCCGCCGGTAAGGCCTGAGTGCGGCGACACCGGCGCCACGCCGAATTGGTGCGGCGGCTGCTGCTGTTGGCTGCCATACGGCTGGGAAGGAGGCTGCATGAGCTGCTGCTGGTACTGCAACTGCTGCTGCTGCTGTGCCTGCTGCTGCGCCTGCTGCTGCTGCTGCTGCTGTTGCGCCTGGGCCTGCTGCTGCTGCGCCGACTGCTGGTCCCCCGCCGTTGCCGTCGGCGTCCCGAGCCCCAGCGCGCCGCGAGGCATCACCATGTCTGGCGGCGGCATCCCGAGCGCGGCCAGCGGCAGCTGCGGCGGCGGCGCGCCCGCCGGGGGCGGCGCCATCTGCTGCGCCAGCGGGTCGGACGCGTCCCGCCAGTACACCGCCCAGCCAGAGTGGCCCGGCGCGTACCATTCCTGCAGCGCCTGCTGCTTCAGCTTCGGCAGCAGGTTGAACGTCACCGGGTCTAGCTGGTGGATGGGGATGACGCTGTCGTCCGCCTCCGCGCTGCCGCGGCCGACGTACGCGATCGGCTGGTCTATCGCGATCGCCCCGTTGCGGCAGGCGAACAGCAGGCCGCCGCGCACGTTGGGGCACCACCAGATGCGGGGCCGGAAGTCCGGCACGACGGCCTGCGAGCAGTGCTGCGCGACCTCGTCCCACTTCTCCGGGGACAGCTTCAGCAGGTGCCGCACCTGCGGCGGGCGGCGGGCGGCGATGGGAGGCTGACGCGTGACGACGGGCGGCGGGCGGCCAGCCGCGCCGCACAGTCTCTAGCTACCGCCTTCTGTAACCGCTATCCTCAACGCCTGCATTTTCATCAGACAAAGGCAAGGTTCTCGCCTGCCCAGAGACCAGCTGCTTGAAAGCACTTGCCACAAGCCCGCAGGAAATACATTCCTACACACGACCCTTTACCACACGAGCAGCCCCGCACCTTGTGTTTGAGCTCCTGGCTGGCCTCTGTGAGCTCCACCAGCTGCGTGAACTGCCCCACCCGCTCCACGCGCACCAGGTCGTCAGGCAGGTCGATCTCCAGGTTCTCCTCGCGCGCGGCCTGCGGAGGGCAGCGGCCGCAGGGCGCAGGGGTGGCGGGGCGCGGCCGTGAGGGCAAGGATCTGTGACAGCGCTCCCGCCGAGTACTGCTGACAGAAGGAAGGGCGTCTTTTCACGAATCAACCGGGGCCCTTGGGGGTGGATGATAGCAGCGGTGCCAAAGCTGAGAGCAAAGCGGTGGTGTGATTTGATTCGATCTGACACGGCAAGGCAAGCAGCACGGGGGCCGCACCTGGCGCAGGTCTGTCAGCTTGTCCACCGTGGCCTTGCCAATGTGCACCAGTTTGCTGACGTGGTCCGCCACGCACGGTATGTCGCTCTGCGAGGGAGGGACAGCACGTTGGGCGGCCGCGGGGCTGAGAACCGAGAAACTTGCAACCGCAGCGCACTGCGGTACAGTTCAGAGGGGGCTGGCGCAGCCTTCCTCGACGTTCTCTTGGTGCCCCTGCTCGACTGTCCCAGCACAACATAGTTGATCGCCCACTGTCGCGTCCAACATCAGGGCCCGGCCCTGCAGATACAGTACCCCACACAAAACACACCTTGATGGCGTGCTTCACGCGCTTGGTGGCCACCACAAAGCTCTCGCTGACGACGTATGTGATGCTGGGCAGGTGGTTGCCCGCGCGGTCAATCGCCCACACCAGCAGCCGGAAGGTGGGCGCCTTGCCCGCCAGCAGCGCCTCGCTGGACGTGGTGCACTGCAGGTCGGACAGCGGCGCGTGGCCGCGCTGCAAGGGGGGAAACGGGGGGACAGATGGCAAGAGAAGGGGTTGATGTGTGTTGCGTGACAGCCCACACAGCCAGACGGCCTGTCGACGAGCAGGGTCGATCCTCCAACCCAGGCTCCTACAACACAATACCCAGGTCGAGAGCGACAGGGGTCGCGTGGGGCCATTTTCAAGCCAGCTGCAAAGGTCCCTCACCTCTGGCACCATGATGATGCGGCCGTCCTCTGTAACGTTGAGGCCGCCCTCGCGCTTCAGCAGCGGCTTCTTCTGCTGCGGCGCCAGCACGCACGAGCGCAGCTGCATGGTGTTGAGGAGCGTGTTGTCGGGGCAGACCTCGCGATACTTCTCGCCGTTGAGGACGTGGATCTGCGGGCGGCGGCGGCGGGCAACAGGTTAAGAGGCGCACCTTCCTGCGCTGCTGGTACAACGCCGTCGCAAGTGCAGCCGCTGCATCCTGCAAGCGGCTGCAGCTCAACAGCGCGCCCTGAAACAGTATGTAATCGCCGCGTCCAAAGGGCTGCCACCCGCACCTCCAGCTGGACGTCCGGCGTGGCCTCGTTTACGCACTGCCCCGTCTCGTCCACCACCTATAGTCACATGAGAGGGCACGGGTGTGCAGCAACAATGGCCTTGGGTGTTGCACATGCTGACAGGCCGCCGCGACTCTGCCAACCCTTGATGATGCAAAATCTTGGCCGCGCGGCTTTGCAATATCCTCGGACTCCCTCGCACACGCGAAACACCTTCACACGTGCACAACACCCTTGAAATGGGGCAGCCGCCCCGAGAGGCACGGCCCCTTCCGCGCGTGTTCCCGCGCTCTCCCCGCGCCGGCAACACACCTCGACACGGAGCCCAGCGTTGCACTTGGCGCGCAGGTGGTCGTCAATTAGATACTTCTGCTTCAGGTTGCGCTTGCAGATGCGGCTGGGGTTGTACTGACACAGCACGCACGCCCCGTCGCCGCAGCCGGAGCTCCTGGGGTGGGGTGGGCGGATTTTGCCCAGGTAGCGGTCAACATTCAGCACCCGTGCTTGCCTCAATGGCCATCCGCCCCGTCCACGCGCCATATCAAGGGGGGCATCATTCGGAAGGAGCGACCGCAGCAGTTGGCGCTACCAGCATGGCGCGCCGGCCGGCAACCGGTGCATGGCCCGGCAAGGACGGACACCAGGGCACATCGCGCACCACTGCGCCGCGCAGCGCAGCGTCGCCCGCCGCCGCACTCACTGGCAGTCGTGCCTCAACACCAGGCGCAGGTTGTGCTGAGGTAGCATTGGAACCGGAGCAGCCACCACCTGTAGCGAGCTGGCGACCTCGCGGCAGAGGTAGTCGATCTGCTGGGGCGTGAGCCCCGGCGCAAGCCTCCGCGCAAACGCGAAGGCAAACTTCTGCAGCCGTGCTTGTACATATTGCTGTGGGGTGAGTCATTTGGGAAGCACGGGTGAGCATGGGCATGGGCAAGAGCATGGGATCCAAGCTGCCCTGGGCTAGGCCCTCGCGCACCTCCACTAGCGGCAAAACGGGCAAAAGCTCCGCTGGATAAGGAACGCCGCCCTCCATGAGGGCTCCCAAGGCCTTGCGCCCTCGCAAAACTCAAAGGCAAGAAGCTGTGACTGTGTTGCTGCGTGACGGGGGTTCAAAGGGTAGAAATAAAATGTCTGTGTATACGCGATTGGATGCGTGGCAAAAGGCATGGAGGTGCCCGACGCGTTCAAGCGCCGCAGCGGGGACACTAGCTGCACCTTCCTCTGGCTCCAGCTCGGTGTGTGCGTGTGTCTCGGCACGGTGCCGGTAGGCTGCCTGGAACATTCATGTGCGCGCATGCGGATGCCCCCAAAGAGCACTGCCCTGCAACAATACTGCAAAACCGGGGCGTAGTAGGAACACACGTGACCGTCTGACAGCCCGTGAGTCGCACGGCAGGGACTGCGTGCTGCCCCCCACGACTGCCGGCCGGAACGATCACTCACCCCCCAACCACGCCACATCCTGCTCTGAGGCTGACCCGACGGCTGCGTGTGTGACACAGACTGCATCGCTTTGAGACAGTGTGGGTGTGCCATTCCACGCAGAGGTGTGCCAGATAGGGTATCGCTTTACACCATTGGGGAAGAGTGAGTTCCGGTGCAGATGCAGGACGAGCCAGAACTTGGGCCTGGGCCATACGAAAGTACATGTACATTGGCCGCAGCAAGGGCGGCTGGTGGGATCAGGGTTGCAAATTTTCTTCCCAGGATTAGGTCATGTATGGACCATCCTCATATGGCCTAACAACGTGACTGTCTGTATGTGACACGACTCAACGCCTTGAACATGTACCAGAGCTTCTCAGCCGCTTTCGACGTTCCCGATGAAACAAGGGTCTCCCGCCCCGCGGCACACACGCGCCGCCGCGCGCGGGCCTCCCTTCCCAAAATGCTTGGATGTGCCGCGACAAACCTCCAACCGGCGCTGCGCGGGCCTCGGCCCGCGCCCTCCCAAACCCAGCAGCGCAGGCCACGACTCATCGCAGGCGCGGGCGCAGACGCGCCGAAAAGCCGCACGCGGCCCCCGTCAAGACGGGGGTGCTCGCACCCCCTGCTCAAGGCAGAGACGTGCGTGCTCGGTTGTGGGTGCCACCCCCGCGCTCGCTCACAGGATGGGGGCGCTGTCGATTTCGGCCGGCTCGAAGCCCATCATGGCCTCGGGCCGCACGTACACCCAGACGCGCTGCCCCACGTCCAGCCCCAGCGCCCCGTCCGCCTGCTCGCGCGACACGCTGTACTCCACGGTGACGTCATCGTCAAAGCGCAGGGTGTAGCGGACGGTCCATCCGAGGTTGTGGCGCTCGGCGACGGTCGCGCCCGTCACCTGGGGGCCAGAGGGGGGAGGGTGGTGAAAGGGGGCCTTCAGGGCTGGGGCCGGCGCACCAGCGGGCTGGGCTCAGCGCAGGGCTTGGCCATGTTGCAGTGGGGGGAGTTGAGGGGAAGCTTTATAGGGGCGGGGCGAAGGGCTGCCTGCGGGGCTCGGGAAGCTGTGTGGAGAAGATGAGGGTTGGGGCTGGGCTGGGGGGACCGCAGGGCTGTGGCGGCCGTGAGCGCGGGGGTCTGACAGGTGAGGTCGCGCCCGCGCCGCCGCCCCGGCTCGCGCTGGAACGCGCCGCGGCGCCCCCGCGCACCAGGTTGCCGTTGACGGACTCGACGACCTCGGTGAACAGCTGGATGTGGCTGGGGCGGAACATGACGCGGCTCTTGGGGGTCTTGTACCTGCAGTATTGAGAAGAGATGGTTTTTTTAGGGGGGGGGGGCGCCGCGGAAAAAAAAGCAAGTAAAGCAAGGCACCAGAGACACGCCACTGGCAGCACCGACTTGCAGGGGCCGCATTTGCAGGAGGAACGTGAGCACGCACGTTCTTTGGCACACGCCCAAGGCAACAATTATTAAAGGGGTGATGGCGGCGGCACGCACTTGCTGTGGCGGACGAGGAGGGAGGAGGAGGGGACGTCGTTGGTGTCGCCCACGAACTTCATGACAAAGGGCGTTGCGGGGCGCCGGATGATGTCGGTCGGGGAACCGATCTGCAGGGGCAGGGCGCAGGCGATAATCAGTCACGGAGTCGGGCACATCTACCCTCCAAGGCCCGTCGCGTCATCCCGAGGGACGTCCCCCTTGACAACAGATCCACGTCAACCACCGGCGCGACCCTCTGCCGGCGGCCGCACGGCGTTCGAAACATCAAAGTAACACAGGAATCGGCGTCGCCGCCGTCGCAAGCGGACGGGCGCTCGCAACCTAGGTTGAAACCCCCACCCCACCCCACCCGCGTCCCGACAAGAGCAGTGCCGGGCCCCGCCGCGCAGGCGCGCCTGCGCGCTCACAGCCCGAGGGCGCACCTGCTCGATGAAGCCGCGGTTGAAGATGACGACGGTGTCGGCCACATCAAAGGCCTCCTCCTGGTCGTGAGTCACGATGATGGTGGTCACGCCCACCTGGAGCATGAC